CTCATCGGTCCACTGTGGAGGCGTCACCATATCTGTTTCACAGGGGTCAACCCTCCTGAGCCAGGACTGACGTGATGCCGCAGGCCTGCAGGAGGGTTTGGTGGGATTCCTCCCAGTACCTAGACTCCACGAGCTCCTGCTTGAACCTGGCAGCTTTCTCGAACTCCGAGTCGCTGTTCTTGAGGACGTCCACGATTCTTTTTGCCCATCTTTCGACATCTTCGGCACGATGGCGGTCGTTCACGCTGGTCCTCACGATGACGTTCCTGTGCTCTGCGCTGAGTTTCTCCTGTTTGATCAAGTCGTTGATCATCTCTGCCAGGCCAGTCTTGTCGGATATGAGAACGGGAATGCCAGCGGCGATGGCCTCCAATCCGACCAGCCCAAATGGCTCGGAGCGGGACGGCATCAGGACCAGGTGGGCTGTCTTCATGTCCTCCATGATCTCCTCCTGGGTCCCATAGGGCAGCAGGGTGGGGTTCATGTCGGGGCTGTTTAGAGCGTCTTCCAGGGTTTTCTTGCTGGTCTCCCAATCATCCTCGTTGATGCCGCGAACACACCACCGGGCGTTCTTGATTATCTTCACTACTTCCCTCATGGACTGTCCAGCGAGGTCATGCCCTTTCAGCTTCTCCACCTTCCTCACCCTGCCAATGGACAGGACGACCTTCTGCCCTCCCCCTGGTCTCACATTGGTATCCAGAAACAACTTTGATGGCTTTGGGAGAAAAAGGTAGTGTCTCTGGGGTTTCTTATCTCCTTTGTACTTGGTGCTGAAGTGGTCGTAGATCCGCTTGCCCACAGAGAAAGCTGCCTTTGCATTGTTAATTTTATCAAGCATATCATTCTCTTTCTCCCGTGCTTTCATGGCCTTCCGGCCCCCCTTGTAGTACTCTGTGTCCTCGGGTATGACGTGGGTGAACGTTATGAGGTCTGCTTGTGGATAACGTTTATCCTTGATGTCTCGTGCCGCCGTATCTGTGATATCGGCGTGGCCTATGATGCAGGTGACGTACTGAGGGAGGTTTGGATAGTAATGGCTGTGGTAGTAGGTCAGCCATTCTAAAGTTGGCTCATTCGTTTGACCTAATCGATCTGGCCGTATCAGTAGGACGCCGTCCTTATCTGCTGCCTCCTTATCTTCTTCCCGCAGATGCAGAACTGTGCAGCACACGACTGCATTGACATTAGTCAGTGTTTGGCTTACCTCGCAGTTGACTGTAGAAATTCCCCCCTTGGAAGTCCCATACTCGTCGCTGATCAACAGGATTGACGGTACTCCAGGTACTGCAGGGAGACAAAAAAGAAAACTGTATCAAAGGATAATCCTGCAAGTCTAGAAAAGAAAAAAAAAATCACTATATATATATATATATATATATATATATATATATATATATATATATATATATATATATATATATATATATATATATATATAACATGTATTTGGAAAATATGTAAATGCTAGCACCTGTACTAGTAGAAATCTGATTTACTTTCGTACTTTATGTTGAGTGACCATACTCAACCTTATTTTGGCTGTTAGAAGCAGTGGCTTTATGCTTACATTATAACTGTTCTGCCTTAAGCTATATTTACATCATTTAGGTGAGTACCTTGACTTCCATGTAGAGCATCAGCGCTGGTTCCAAGTGGTCTTGGAAGACTGTCTTGATGACATTGAATGACCAGCCCTTCATCCTCTCCACACAGCAGGTCACTGACCTGTTCTGTGAACAAGAGGACCGGGTGGATGATTGTACCGCCCTCTGCTGCTGCCTTCCTGATCTCCTCCTTGTCATAGGAGTAGAATTCCTCCCTGTGTTCCTTCAGTGCACGAGCGCTGAGTACCTTCTCTACTGTGCCTGTTCCTGGGCTGCACTCATCCAATACATTAGCGATGATGTTCTCCAGCTGCTGTAGCATCTTGCCACACTGCACCTTGTCACCCCGCACACTCCGGACACAGGTGTTGACTGAACGGCCGTCCGGAGAGAGTTTGATTAGACCTTCCACATTCCTGTCCACACACTTGGCGCCATCTCTCCACAGAAGCGGGCGATTCTCCTCCTCCCTCATTAGGCGGGTCTGCACTCGGGGGAAGAACCCGGATGAGAACATGTCAGTTGAGTCGGCACACTGGACTTGCTTCCCAAAGTAGACAACTTTTGACTCAGTTGTTGGTTTCCAAACCTGGCCAGGTATGGTTTGTTTCAGCAGCCCTGGGAAGATGAAGGTCTGTCCGTCATAGGAGTGACAGAGCTGGAGCTCTTGCAGGAGGGTGATGAGGATATCCACGTCAGCAACGTCTTGGAAGACGCGATGGATCTCCTCCCTAGTGACGTAGTCTTCGTTTGTTCTCTCCAGGCGGGGAATGGGGAAGTTGACCGGTGCCATCATTGGACCGATGACGTCTGTGCAGAGCCAGTTGGGCTCCAGAACAATGATGGGATCAGAAGTACTTGGACAGATGAAGATGACCTTTAAAACAAAAGTAATTCATTCCAAACCAAATCAATTCAATTTGTCAATTATGGAATTCGGGCGAAGCAAAGTGGATAACAAGATATAATTAAGTGTATTAGGTGAGCATTCGATTTTATGATATGCCCAGAATATCTCTCTTCAAGCTACATAACATATGATTTTCATGTTGGAAAGTTTAACACAAGGAGGAACAGCCTACTTCACCCAGATGATGCAGATATCTTGTAGACTTTAGGAGAAATTCCTCGTCCACATGTGGGTCGATATCTTTTACTGCTTTCACGTAGTGTTGCCACCTCAGTACAGGACACTTCGGGCTGCACTTTGTCTTGATCCATGTAGGCAGTCGCTTGGTGATTTCTGCGCACAATTTTGGCATCTGTGGCTGGTGCTGTGCAAGTTGGAAATGACTGGTCATTTATTGCAAATGTTGTCAATTAATGCATTTTCTGTAGTCTGTATCAAACTCTTATCACACACTTACCTCTAACATGGTGGTTTTTATCTTATCCAGCAGATTTTTGAGTCGATCCATCTCTGGTGTTCGCGTAAACGTACAGTTCATCAGGAAGACTTCGTCTGAGATATGGAGGTGATCTTTAAATTCCGCTTTCATCAACTGCAGGAGATGATGAGCTTGGCGTTGTCCTAAAGGTTAAGAGAATTAAAAAAAACATACATGAAGCTTTTTTGTGTTAGACTGATGTTTAACTGTTTAACGTGTTAGACTCATATTTACTTTTCACTTTCACTTTCAAAGTAATAGGTTTTATGAGAAATCCACCTGGACAATTGTCTGTAGGACCTTTAGAGTGTGAAGTAGTTCAGTCTGCTGAAGTTCCAGGTGTGATCCTGCAAGCCGATCTTAAGTGGACCACACATGTAAACTCCGTAGTCAAGAAAGCCAACCGCAGGCTATCAGTATATTACAATGTAAGTACGTGTACTATAGAAACACGGACTTGGTGACAATGAGTTAATGCTGGTATTTTGTGGTTTTGTTCAACCACTATTAGAATATGCTTGCCCTTAGTGGCATGCATCCTGGCATCACTACTGTACAGTCAATTAGCAAAGTCCATAGAAGTGGTAAAAAAGAGGGTGTGTAACATAATCCTAGGTAGAAACTATGTTAGCTATGACAGAGCAATTAGAGCAGCTGTCTTTTACATTGAAGCTTTTACATGACTGAATCTCTCTTTTTCTCTCTCTCTATCTATCTATCTATCTATCTATCTATCTATCTATCTATATATATATATATATATATATATATATATATATATATATATATATATATATATATATATATATATATATATATATATATATATATATATATATATATATATATTCGAACACTACCGTTATGCTACACGACCCCACAAATGGACATATATTATGAATTGTTTATGCTACTTTATGCAGACTTCAAAGATTTTTTGCATAGATTAAATTCTGTTACGTCTTGTTCTTGGATGTGGCTGTCGTCCATTATGTTGTATACCACAATGGAGATGGTGTTCTCGGCATCCATGAACATACTGTGGGTTACCGCGTACTCCGACTGCCCAGCGAAATCCCACAGGCTGACCTCCCCCACCCCTGGAATATGGAACGTCCCAACATCCACCCCTGGGGTGGGGTCGTAAGGCTCCTCGTATGACGACGAGTAAGTCAAGTCTTGGAGCCATGCAGACATCCGGCCCTGTTGGATAGCATTACATTATTAGGCTTTGACATCTTTGATAATGTTTGTATCTAATCAGCCTGATGAGTTTCTTAAGAAAACACTCTCCTCTAGCTGCCACCCGAGGGTAACAGCTATTCGTCCAGAAAAGAATACGTAAAACATAACAATGCATCAACATATACATATACATGTATACATCAACATACACGATATATACATATATACAATCTTCAATTTACTACCATTTTTGTATAATTCTGTTTGTGTCCATTTATTTCAATGTGTCTTTGATACGAGTTTTGAATGTGATAAGTACAGATGTTCTGATATGATCTGGAAGTGTATTGTACAATTTTGAGCACCTGTAAAGGAAAGACTTAGTAGTTGCTGATGTTCTTGGCTTTGGTAGCTTAAAATTATTCCTTGCTGAAGATCTCGTGCTGTAACTGTGCTGGTTAGATACAAGCTGTAGTTTACTGTAAAGTGTTGTCGTTTGCTTATAGAAAATCAACTTGTGGAAGGTACACATGTTATTAACATAGTCTTTCACTGACAGTCATCCATGATAGCACACTGTGCGGCTGCTTGACAGATGTCCGATAAGTTCTCAGTGCAAGTCTCCCTGCCTTGTTCTGCATTACTTGGAGTGCGGTGATGTTCTTTTGTGAGGTAGGGGACCATACCGCTGTACAGTAGTCGAAGTGTGTCAGGGTAAGTGTGTCCACCGACAGTTTCAGCAACGCAGTTTGAGTAATCCAGTGTTTATTGTTCAACTGATATATATGCCTCTTGCAATGAGCTTGGTAGGATTTATGGATCAGATAAAGTTGCTACTTACCCTTTGAAGACTTATCTTCAGCGTGGACTTTCCCGCTTTCCCCTTCCCAAACACGAACACCTTACACCTGTCGGTCTTTACTCCGCCAGACTTCTGCAGCAACTCATGATACAACTTCTCTTGATTCACTTTCTCTTCCTGATTCTGATGGAAGGCAAAAGAGAGTGTAACTTTACAAAAACGGTCATTTTGTATGGTTAACTTGTTCAGGAGACTCAGGATGAGAACAATAATACCAAAGTATTTTCAACATAGTCAAAACTAAGTAACGCCATAACATCCAATGTGCTCTTTTCTACAATCAGAGTGTAGACCTCTCCTCCAGTCATAGATACATGAGAATATTCAATCAATCAATGAGAATATGAATGAGAATATGTAGAATATTGTTTACCAATAAATAATAATGATAAACTCAAACCTTCAAGGTACGTCGAGTCTTCTCGCCTTTTGCTAGATCAAATGGTATCCGTCCATTCTGCATGGAGAGACAACAGAAACGTGTTGTACTATACATGCACAACCTAGTAATGTCTATCAATGACACCAAAACTAGAACGGCTGTATCAAGTGCCTCAATCGTACCGTCACTTGGTTCGTGCTTGTGCGACTTGGGTTGTTGAATGTTGGATGTGTCCCTTCCTTGAGAAAATACAAGTCGCAGGCTTGGTTCAACATAATATGCCCATCACTCAGTCGTGGCGCCTAGGATGTATTGTGAATTCTATTCTACGGGTCCGTAAAATAAAATCCACTGAATATCGTCAAGATCAGAAAGGGACAAGCATCGATGTCGGACAGAACTCGGTGACGTGGACACAATAATTAACAAACGTAAATACGTAGCTTCATCAGTCACTGAATAAAAAACTCCTTTTACGCAACCAAGTTTTTATTCAGCCAACGTTTCGGTGACGTTGTCTGAATAGAACACGATGATAACAAAGCAATTATAACACAGCAATATGGCATTAGTGTATATTAATTACTTTATTCTTGGCCATCACGTCTGCCCCATGAAGAATGAGAAGCTCACAAGTTTCTGGGTCTCCCCGGCCAGCAGCCCGATGCAGGGGTGTGTTCTGGACCTGTTCCGGGAGGACGATCAGGGTCAGTATAGGGATGGTCTTTTTTTAAATTCCTACATGTAATCACCAGACGTGGTGACGTCACACTGAAATTGCCACAACTCTGGCTACAGAGTTGTGGCTACACAAAATTGGCTATATTGTTGACATACATACAGACCCACACCAAAGCCACTCCACCATGGCCAAACCGAAACCATGACCTTCTTGCTAAAGTATAAATATCTTCTTAGATTAACAAACATGACAGTACCTGCACAGAAAGAAGCAATTGGGGCTTACAAAATTAGCGTCAGATTTATAGTTTAAAACATCAAAAGACTTTTAGGTAAATAAGCATAAGGATATGAGGGAAAACACATTTAACTGTTTACGAAAAATGTTTGCGAAAACAAGATATTAGGACATACCTCAAAACATATCAGAATTGAATACGAAAGAAAAAAAAACATTTTACCTATGGACAAACATGATCAACAATGACACCAGGTGAGTAAGAAGAAAACTTGCACTTACAACACTAGCCTTACAAAACGAAGAAAAAATCGTTCTAAAAATAACCTTTACATCAGTGAAGGAGAAGGTAAAGATTTAACAAAAGGTAAGACTGTCATTGGATATATGGTCAACAGATATAAATCATGATGAGGATCTTACTTGCATAATTTATAAAACATCTATAGGTACTTGTCTATCATGGTTGACATCATTTGGCGAATGAAGGAGATCATGGGACTCTAGAGATTCCTTCTTTCTATGTGTGTTAGTGAAGTAATGTTAGATGCTTTTTGGAAGCAAACAATACTGATGTTTGGTTGTGTTTTTGTTGCTGTTAGATGTTTGTACATGTAAGAATGTTGCTACCTTCTTCGGATGTTTTCGGATTGTTCTACGAAAATGTGCCGTAAATTTATGTTGCATTTTTCTATTGCATTGTGAACATTGTGTATTTAGAGATATTCTAATGTTTGTGTATTTGAAAATGTTAGGAACCATTTGAAATAAGTGTGCATTACCTCATCCCTGGCCATCACATCTGCTCCGTGACGAATCAGAAGCTCACAGGATCGGGAGTGGCCCACTAGAGCAGCCCGATGTAGGGGTGTATTCTGGCCCTGCACAGGGAAGACGGTTAGGGTCAGTAGGGAAGGGTTCAATACGGACAACACTGTGTCCACGTGGATTTTTTTATTCACATATATTTATTGAGTATTAGGCAAAAAGCACAAATTGCTTTTATTACACCTTCTACTTAAAACATGAAACGAGAGTAGAACATCAAAGACATTACAGTTTTGTAACTGTGAAAGTGATGTGCACCCTTGTAGCAGTAAGGAACATAGGGAACTGTCATTGAGATGCTGTAGCTCTACTATGTGGAAGAGATGATGACAGAGTACTTCTTTGACTAGAATAAAGTTTACAGTATAGAAGTTAGTATTTAGTTGTTTCACTATGATAGCCACATTTGCGGTAGTCAATACAATAGTGTTGAAATAGATGGTAGATTAACTGGCTGAAATTAAGAACACCGGAATGTTTTTTGGCCATGAGAGAAATGGTAGTGTTTTGTCGGTCTGTTGAATAATACTCCATGTATGTGTGTGTACGTGTTTGTGTTTGTGTTTCCGGACATTTGCGGCCAGCATAAATTTTGATCCTTTGAATGGATTGTGATGACATTTGGTATGTGCAAAGGTGCTGGGTAGGCAAAGGTCAAGGTCGATTTTGGGCCTCCTGGTGGCTGACCTTGGTACTACAGCAGAAATTCCGGTTTTTGTATCTTTTGTCCTGGACATGATATGGTCTTGATTTTTGAGTGATGAATAGCTTTTCCTGCAGTAATAAGTGGTGTGGGTTTGGTCCCCCTAAAAGTTTCTTCATGAACTGCAGGGGGGTTTCCGGCGAAACCTTTCAGAGCAGATAAATTTACAAAGGAACAATGTATTTTTATGATTTTTGGTATGTGTGTAGCAAAGTCAGAGATCTACATTGTAGGATGCAAATTATGTATATGGTGAGTTAATTTGCCTAATTATTGAGGAAATTCTGTAATATCAGCGTTTTACTTTATGGGACTTTGGTACATGTAATGTTTATAAACTATGGCAGGTGGAATATCAACATATTCCAATTATACAAATACGGACCTAATTTGCATAATTAATCTGAAATTCTATGACTCCTTAGTGATAAATGATAGGAATTTCATACTTGGGACATGTGTAATTCAATCAAAAGTTAACATATATGTTAATGTAGAGGTCATTTGCATGATTAAGGAAGAAATTTACATTTACAAGCCCATATTTCATGGAAGTATGAGGTCTCGGAACTCTTGTTTATGCTGTACCCACTTGGTATGTTTTTATTATCTCTGTTCCATATCCATGTAATCTGTAAAACCATTTGAAACAAGAGTTCCACGACCAAATAATATTAACCTTTATAATTGGCGAATTATAAATGGTTCATTCTCATTCTTTATGTAAAAGAAAGAAAGGTATTCTTTCATTTTCTCATAAATTATGCAAATGGTGTCCTGATTGGAATACGTAATGTTCGATAATGATCATGTTGACTTCCAAATGCCGCAAGTATGAAATTTTAGCCATAACCAGTGTAGAATCTTAAAATTTTCTCATAAATTATGTAAATTTGGGCAAAATGTGCATAATTAATATCTGGCAATGTTCCTCTTCCTATTAATTACATATGTCAGAACTTACTCAGAAGTTTGAATTGTCCTATCATGAAACAAAGCAGATTTGAATAATTTCGTTCTTAATTACTAGTAGGTAAACTGGATCCAGATTTGAATTTAATTATGTCAAGCATCGTTTAAGCTACCTACATACCAAAAATAAGGACAATCCATCAACCGGTTCTTGAGTTATCCTTCTTTGAACGTTTTCAAACAAACGCCCCCGCAGTTCCAAAATAAGCTGCTAGGTCCCAACTTTACGCCACTTCTTCCCGACTACAAGAACTATCTACCACCCAAATATCATGACCCTAGATTAGGAGATATCAAAACTGGAAGTTCCGCTGCCGTACATTAACAAGAGTTCCGAGACCCCATACCTACATGAAATATGGATTTTACATGTAAATGTAAATTTCTTCTTTAATTATGCAAATGACCTTTGCACTAACATGATATAGGCATCGTAACTCTTTATTAACTTACACGTGTCCCAAGTTAAGTATGAAATTTCCATCATTTACCGCTAAGGAGTAATTGAATTTCAGATGAATTATGCAAATAAGGTCCGTATTTGCATAATTGGTATCTGTTGATATTCCACCTGCCATAGATTATAAACGTTACATGTACCCCCCCCCCCCCCCGCAGTTCATGAACAAGCTGCTAGGGGGAACCAAACCCAAACCCACACGACTTATTACTGACAAGAAAAGCTATCCACCACTCAAAAATCAAGACCATAGCATGTCCAGGACAAAAGATACAAAAACCGGAATTTCTGCTGCAGTACCAAGGAGGCCCAAAATCGACCTTGACCTTTGCCTACCCAACACCTACCAACATACCAAATATCATTAAAATCCACCCAAAGGTTAAAAGTTATGCTGACTGCAAATGTCCGGAAACACAAACACACAAAGACACACAGAGACAGACAGACAGACACACAGACACATCAAAAACAATACCTCCAATTTTTCATGGAGGTAACAAGCCGCCAGGTGCCCGATTCCGCCAGAATATTCTCGGGTTATCGCGTTCACACACACACACACACACGCACACGCACACACACACACACACACACGCGCGCGCGCGTGCGCGCGCGCACACACAAAGATATACGAACGCGAAGGTAACAAGTTTGCATTACCTCACCCCTAGCCATCACATCTGCCCCATGACGAATCAGAATGTCACAGGTTCTGGTGTGGCCCATGCCAGCAGCCCGATGCAGGGGTGTGTTCTGGACCTGTTCCGGGAGGACGGTTTAAGGGTCAGTAGGGATTGGTTCAACGCGGACAACACTAGTTACTGCTATCACATGAATAAGAGAAGTTGACGATTTGTACATCAACAATTAGTTCCTTAAACCCCTGCTTTAAATAGATACCAGTTTGCGTGTTGCTACCCTCAGAAAAGAAAACTAGGAAGATCAAAGAACCACCTGTCACAGAAATGTAAGAGGACATCTTGTCTTAGAAAGTATAAAAAGAGGTCTCCCAAAAACATTGACATAAACTCATATTTCATGGAGGTATGAGATCTCCGAATTCTTGTTTGTGTTGCTACCCTAGATTTGTTTAATTATGCAGTACTGAATGAGCATGTTTGTAAAATCGTCTCTATCTCTGTTCTATATCCATGTAATCAACAGGGTTCATTTGAAAAAGTGTGCATTTCCTTATTTCTGGCTGTCACGTCTGCCCCATGACGAATCAGAAGCTCACAAATTCCGGTGTGGCCTCCGCCAGCAGCCTCGTGGAGGGATGTGTTCTGGTCCTGCACAGGGAGGACGGTCAGGGTCAGTAACTAGGGATGGGTTCATTACGGACAACTGTTGCGGCCATATACATCCTGACAAACAGTGGTTTTGGTGATGAAGATAAAATAATGTCGCTTTCGCATGCGTTTATGTGCACGATGCATATGTGTCTGGACGCAAGGTTTTATGTGTGCCACAGAAAACTACGAACAAGTCTTTTACTTTATAAACTTCACTTGACAGCAATTTTACTTGTTTTTACGAGAATTGATTCTGAATAGGTGTCTTTGTGAAAAACATTATCTGACTCAAACCTTATTTTCTGACCAAAGAGGACTCTATAGTCGCTACAAGGCAATGCAAAACTGAACCAGACAACGGCGGAACCTTAAAGCACGAGTGACACTGGCAGGGTCCAGGTCAGGAGAAGTTAGTACAGTTATTTCAGTCTACTTACTACACCATCCCTCGCCTCCAAGTCGGCGCCACGTAAGATCAACAATTTCGCCACTTGAGTTCGCCCAGACTGGCTGGCCACTCGCAGGGATGTCAGGTCAGACTGGATAGAACAAAAGTTGGGACAATAACCGGTTGCAAAAGAACAGTACATGCAGAATCATCATCATCAATACAGTTTTAATTAGTAATTATCCATGTCTTAATGTACATAATGTACTGTACATAATGTATAATTATAATTGATCCATTCTTCATCCATGCAATTGTATGATATTGCATTAATATTGTATTGTATTATAGGGTTAATGACCCGCCCTGAGGTGTATACGGTGTCATAATTCATGGTCGGTTTCTATTACCACCGAATGAACGACCGAGTCCGCAGAGCGGACGAGGTCGTTTATGAGGTGGTTATAGGAACCGACCATGAATTATGACACGGTGTACACCGAAGGAAAGCGGGTCATTAACGTTATTATCATATAGACATTACAATAACAACAACAACAACATTATCACATACGCATGTACAGTTGACACACAAGGAAACAACTCATGTATAACGTAAATATTTTGATATTGCATGGAAGTGAATCCTCATCACAACAAACCAATTGTTTAAAGCTGAAAGTTGCATATGAACGGAATTTACCAGTGAATTTTACTGCTGAATTTCTGCCACTCTTGTCCAAATTCTGATCTCTGTGGTTGGCCCAAGGCCGCCCAAGAGTACAATAGGAGTGTCAAGTAAAGAGTAATATTTGTAAATAATGCTTTTCCCTGATTTTACCGCTGATGTTAATTACCTCCGGGGAAGGAGATATCCTTCCGCGAGGAGGTTTTACTATTGTTCGAAACATTTCTGTCAGCAGCTGTTTCTCGCGATCGGCTGGACGGATTGGTCTGTTGTTCGGTATACGTATTGCTGTTGGGCTGCAGATGATGCAGAACGTTTTTGTTTAATTGCATATGTGTTTATGGGCGTGGAAATAAAAGGTTTTTAAGTGCTCCGGACACCCCCGTTATGCTGAAAATGGAATTTACCATGTTGTTAAGGAATGGGGAGGTTTCAGTTTTGGGTCTAACCATTTAAAAGGGGTCAAACAGAGGGGTGTCTGGTTCCGATAAAAACGTTGGGTGACGGCGCAGCAATGACGGCGCGGGATGACGGCGGGGATAATGGCGCGGGTGACGCTGAACGCTGGGTGCAAGCCGAGTCAGCGCTAGATCTTCGTGTCGCGGCATTTATTTCCAGAAATACGGCGATACACGTCAATTTATTTCAAGTACGGAGCGTAGCTAGCATGGCAGCAGCCAGCAGAAGCGGTGGGCGGGCGGTATGCAAATCTTGCATGACGTATCCGCGTTACGCGTCTCTGATTGGTTGTTCGCTTCAGCTGAGATCGCCGGGCGGCAACATGAAGGGCGCGGGGACGCGATTTTTCTGTTTGAAAATATGCACTAAACGCTGTTTTCCATGACTGCATAGCCACATCTAGTGAAAAAGTGCACAATTAATATAAATTTGGGGGGAAATATTTGTTTCTTTGTCGATTTATGGTGTCGATTTATGGAACCCGGAAGTGCAGCCGAGACCAGCGCGCAGCGTAGACCAGCGTGGCAGTTTGACGTGTACGATCAAAACATAAACAAAACTCCCGCTGAAGAAGGGAAATTATCCTGTATGTATGCATTTCAGATCCCAGTGACTATGTTTACGATGGGAATAATTGTGGATACGCACGATGCGCACGATAAGCCTCAGAGATTTATGTCGCGAGTGGGGCATTCTATAGGCCACAATGTCTGGCACGCTACGCGGCGTACGTACACTGCTGCACATCACAGCCAGCGATTCAGTGTCTTAAAATATCTTTTAACATCAGTATAACAATATTTTTAAGCATATGTGATCAAATTTCTGTAAAAAAAATTTGCACAATTGTAAACATAAAACATGAATAGATCGCTGCTATACTGGGCGTACCATTTCGCGTACATGGCCGGCTGCCCGGCGCAAATACTGTCCCGATTTTTCTCAGTAGAAAACCAGAATAAATCACGCACCCGTAATTTGGCTTCGACCCAGAGCTCCTACTTCAGAGTTGAAACCTCAAAAATAGTAACTTTATTAGAGCATGGAGGTATTATACCTCTATGATTGGAAGAAATATAGTATTGCGACACGTGCATAGAATTTGACAAAGTCGGGGGGGGGGGCGTGGCGCTACCTAAAATTCTGCTGCGCTACCTAGTTTTTGCCCTAGGTAGCACACTGTGCTACTTTGCTCAAAAAAGTATTTCGAACACTGCGTTAATCAACAGTCCATACCGAACCAACGTACCGTCAGTAGCCATCAAACTGGCATACAAACATATTACGCACATAACTTTCATACTACACACAAACAAATAACCTAAACCAATAGAAAAAAACCCGGAGGTTTGAAATCTACGATTTCCCTTGTTGTATTTAGTTTCATCGTAACTAAATTAATTTACTACTCTACATAAACAAGTTTATCAGAAAGGTCTTTAGAATTAGCAGTAGGTTAGAAGAAAACACCCCCTGTCATGTAATGGTAGCGTCGGTTACGGACCCGCAGGTCCGTATATCGGATATTAACGACCTGGGTTATGAGGGGAACGGAGTTCTCTGATTGGTCAACGTCATCTGGCTATATGATAATATTGTATTATTGTAGTGTCAGGGGGGCGGGCAACGCCTGATTTGTCCTCCCTTCCACTTGTATATTTCTTGTACCATTGAATAAATATATACAAATAAATGGGTACAGGCAGTAAAGTCTACCCCAAATGACATATGTCGACATGCTCTCTCCAAAAATATGCACTTTTATAAAATGAAAGTTGAGCTTTACTTTGAATTGACTAATCTAAGCATAGAATCACCTTCTTGCTAATAATAGTATCTAAGTGAGTGTTAATCACGTTCCCCTTACAAAACAAGGTTTGAATATCAGCTTCCATACCAATCCGCCCCATGTCCTCTTGGCCTTGACGTCCACCCCAGCGTCCAGCCCCCTCCTCACAGTCTGCACTTCACCTTCCTGCACAGCCCAGTAGAATCTGCGCAGGTCCATCTCCTCACAATCTGTTGGGGGCAAGATTGCAGTTCAGTAACCTATTAAACAATGGGAAACGTACAGTGCCGTTTCCGTTTAAGTTAACCTGGTACATCGTTTTTACTAACGGACAAGAAAACAATTTTTCTCTGTTAGTTTTTTGTTATTCTTCGTTAAAATTTAACTTTGCCGCAGAAGGTCTACCAGCCAATCCTTGCGCGTGAAACGAGCCTCGATCTCGTTAGTTCCGCGGTTTTCCTATCCATTTATTACCTTCGCCAAGAAGGTTATGTTTGGAAGTTTACGGTGGGGTCGTGTGGCGTAGCGGCAGAGTGCGCGACTCGGAAGCTAGAGGTCCCGGGTTCGAGTCCTGACATGCCACCGATCTTGTGCCCTTGGGAAAGGCACTTTACACGACTTTCCTCACTTCGCTCAGGTGAAAATGAGTATTGTCCTGTCATGTATTTGTCCCCTGTGTTGGTGGCGGCATTAATATAAGTTGATAAAACTTGAGTGTGCCGTCACCACGTCTGGTGATTACATGTTGGAATAAAAAAAAGGTTAATGTTTTCGTAGGCGTTCGTGTGTCTGTCTGTCTGTAAACACGATAACTTGAGAAGGCTTAAATAGATTGACTTGATATTAGGTAGGTGGGTAGGTCTTGAGGAGACCTGGAAATGATTAGATTTTGGGCCCCCTAGCGGCTTCCTATGGTGCTGCAGCTGAACTTCCGGTTTTTATATTTCATGACCTATATATGCTAGGGTCACGAAATTTGGACGACAGATAGCTGTTGTGTTAGGGAAGAAGTGACGTAAGTTTGGGCCCCCTAACGGCTTGCTCTAGAAATGCAGGTGCGTTTCTTTAATCATATTTAAAAGCGGATAACTCGAGAACCGACCGAAAGATCGTCATGATTTTTGGTATGTAGGTAGCTTAAGTGTCGCTTGACATAATTATGTGACAATTATGCAAATATGAATGTCATTTGCATAATTGATGAGGAGATTCTATAAATAAGCATTACATGATAGGAGTTTTAAGCTTGTGGCATATGTAATTGAGAACGAAACACAGGCAGATATTGATATGTAAATAAATACTTAATTTGCATAATTAATGAGAAAATGTTATAATTCAACAATGGTAAGTGTATGGGAGGTCATACTTGGGGTATGCTAAAGATAAGTGAAGGTGAACATTATTTAAAAAATATTCAAATAAGGACCTCATTTGCATAATTTATTGCGAAATGCTAGAATGGCATTCTTTGTTCAAATGGGACTGTCTTTTGGTTCCGGGTCGGAGTTTAATTCTGACCAGAGTCTAAGTAAGTGCGCAGTAAATCGCCGGAAACGTGACTTTGAATGGTATGTTTTGGCCGCGATATCCCTGAAATCGTAATATCTGCGTACATATCTTTGTATTTTCTGAAAAGCCTGTTAGTTGTAGCCTTTATAGGTGGCGTAATGTTGGTGGTCCAGCGAAGACTTCCTGGTATTCGTCCGCGCGGATGGTTATGTGGCCTTTTCGCCTGACCGCCGGGATTGTACGTTCTATATGCGTTCTGGGTGTGTTCGGGCCATCGAAGATAGCGATAAACTTATCGCATCGATTTTAATTAAATTCAAATTTTGGAAACATTAGGTTCTGAGCTTCTTCGAGTACTAAGCCGTTACCCTGGGAAAATTCGTTTTTTCCATGCAGCCATGGTTAAAAATGACGAAAAAAATTACCCCTTTTTTAAAAATGTACTTTGATGTGCCTTATTTACCCCTAAATAAATTGGGCGCAGAAAATATCAATCAAGTGTATTGATAAGCGGCACGGCACCCCTTTCCACCAAAAGAGTGAAAAATTCCGACCCGCGTTTAGTACAGAAATGACAGCCCGTCGGGCTGAGGGTGTCAAATTGCTCGAAATACGGAGGGAAACTCCGGTCCGAGACCTTTTGTTCGAGAATATGATCAACTGATATAATTCATGCAAATGAGGATTGTATTTGCATAATCAGAGGGAATAATCTATAATTTGTCAGTCATAAAGATTAACATTATTTGGCGAAGGTATGAGATCGTGGAACTCTAGTTAAGTTATGCTGACTACAAATGTGCGGAAACACAAACACACACACACACTCACTCACACAGAGAGAAAGACACATACACACAGAGACACACAGAAACCCTAAACAACAATACCTCCATTTTTCATGGAGGTAACAAGTATGTTTGTGTCGCTTAAGTTGTCTTCTTCTTATTATTTTGTCTTGTATGATCTTCAGGCAGAGGCTAAGGCTGGTTAGTTTCATCTGGGATAAAATGACAAAAGGTTTTAAGACGATTCTAGCCCAAGGCCAACACTTAAATACAAGTATGTACTGAATGATACATAGATAATATAAAGAAACTAGAGTTCCCCGATCTCATACCTTCGCCAAATGATGTTAATCTTTATGACTGACAAATTATAGATTATTCCCCTCTGATGATTTGACAAATAGGATCCTCATTTCCATGATTTATATCATTTTATCATATTCTCGACCAAAAGATAGTCTTACATTAACAAACAATATCAATCGAGCATTTCCTCATAAATTATGCAAATGACGTCCTGATTTGAATACATTATGTTTAATGATGTTCACCTTTACTGAACTTTCAAATACCACAAGTATGAAATTCCAGGCAGTTATCATTACATAATTATAAAAATTTTCTCATCAATTATGCAAATAAGTCGTCATGTACATAATCAATATCTGCCTGTGTTTCTCTCGTTCTCAATTGCCAATGTCACAAGCTTCAATAGTCCTATTATGGAATGCAGCTGATTTATAGAATTTCCCCATAAATTATACAAATTACATCCATATTTGCATAATTGTATCAAACATCACGTAAGCTACCTACATACAAAAAATCACGACGATCTGTCAACCGGTTCTTGAGTTATGCTCTTTTGAATATTTCTAAACATATAGCCCTGCAGTTCCAGAGCAAGCCGCTAGATAAAGGCCTTCTCAAGTTATCGTGTTTACACACACACACACACACACACACACACACACACACATACACACACATACACGAACGGCTCTAAAAACATAACCTTCTTGGCGAAGGTAATAACAAGTGCTACCTGCTTGGTTTGGTCTTTCATCATTCTGTACTGTGACTTTTGTTACCGCAGCAACCTCAACTGATACAGGCTCTATGTAGGACAGAAATGGGACTTGGAATGAAGGAGTAACTTGTTTGTCTTGCAAGTCACAAATTAAAGAATGTAATATTCATTCGTTCAAAAAAATTCTGTTCTAATTGATTGAACACTTTACTTCATGATGTACCATCTAACACACAGGAGGAACACATTCGAATGACAACTTTGGTCTGAGATACAATCTGATATGCAGGAAAAACTACTCTCCAAGCAGAGGTAGGGTCGCTTGGTATTTTTGGCAGTATTTTCGCGTTTTTAATACGTCTTTCTACTTTTACGGTTTTTCTCTGGTCTTCCTCCCAGAGAAAACCGTAAAAGTAGAAAGACGTGTTAAAAACGCGAAAATACTGCCAAAATACCAAGCGACCCTACCTCTGCTTGGAGAGTAAGGAAAAACAACAACAAGCTACTTTTAAAGCACTGCAATACTTTTGTCCAAGAAGAACAAGAATTCGGAGAAACCATACCTCCATGAAATATGTAGAGTTTATAATTCTATGTAAATGTTTTTGGGGGATTTGTCTCATTGAATTTGGAAATAAGGTGGTAATTAACATAATCTAGTTTAAACTCAAATTACTATACTTTGCGTGTTAAATTCCTATCCTTTGGCAATATTTCATTTTAAAATGTCCTCATTGATTATATGATTGGCCTTTATATCAACATAATATATCTTTAGTGATGTTAATTTTTAAGTTACTTGCACATGTCACAAGGTATAAAATTCCCATCATTCACATACATTTTAACACCAATAATGCAAATTAGGTCATTATTTACATAATTGGTATCTGTTGATGTTTCACCTGCCATAGATTATACACATTACATGTATGAAAGTACTGTCATGTAAAACAATTACATTATTGCCCCCTTAATTATGCAAATTTAGTCTTTATTTGCATGATTTGCATTTAATTATGTTCTCCCTCTATATGGTCTTTACATGCCCAAAATGATGAAAGTGCGTTGTTCCTTTCTACAGTAATTCGCTTTATAAGATTTCGCCAGAAACTCCCATGCAGTTCCAGAACAAGCTGCTAGGGGGGCAAAACCCTGAAATAAGCTTTTCGGTAAATTCTGACCCAAAATATGAAATTAACAATTGAGCAGTATGTTAATACGAACTAGATGCAAACTAGATGATAATTTAAATAATCGTTTTTCCAGAGCGCCGTTAACAACATGTATTACATGTTATCAAAAATACGCTTTTTACACTTAATGACAAAATACATCCTTGTGCCCCCAAATATTGTGAAAGGACTGGCTATTTTGCATATTATACATGGTATATTTATACATGTATGTAACACAAAATATACGTTGCGTGTACGTTAAATCATAATACCAGATGGCTTTCAGGTGCCTGCTTTTTTAGTCCGAGAAAACGTGTGGTGTCAGTAGAGATGTAGAAAATGGTTTATTAATTGGAACATAAATACCATGGGTTCAGATAAATTCAATATTCTGAAACAACTTAACATGGTGGCCTTATGACAGAAGCCACTTTGATAATGATTGTAAATAAACAAAATGACAGTCATAAATTACCATTTTGTAGTGTCCATAGAGATGTGTAGCGTCCGTAGAGATGTGTAGTGTCCGTAGAAATGTGTAGTGTCCATAGAGATGTGTAGCGTCCGTAGAGATGTGTAGTGTCCGTAGAGATGTGTAGTGTCCGAAGAAATGTGTAGTGTCCATAGAGATGTGTAGCGTCCGTAGAGATGTGTAGTGTCCGTAGAGATGTGTAGTGTCCGTAGAGATGTGTAGTGTCCGTAGAGATGTGTAGTGTCCGTAG